AGAATTTTATTTATTTTTTTTCAAAATATCTTTTGCATTCCACAGAAGAAAGTCATACAGGTTTGGAAGGACATGAGGGTGAGTAGACGATGACAGAATTTCCCATTTTATTATGTGAATTATCCCTTTAAGTAGTTTATGGGTGGTTAAAAAAAATCTAATTTATGTGACTGACTTTTAATTTACAGTGATACAGCAAGTATCAACTGTAAAGACCTGCCTCATTGGCAGACCACAGAGTAAGTTCGGTGAGGTTTACACCTCAAGATGTGTTGGGAAAGTGGAGTGTATATTAAAAGACCCAACTCATCCTCTGTGTGATCAGTTTGTTTTATTGCCCTCTGGGAGACGATTTTTAATGCCTAGAGCAAAGACAAATATTTATAAAAAGTCTTTTGTACCTGCTGCGATCGGATTTATTAATCAAAAAGCTATGTGATTCAGTATGATGGTTTTTATGTGTTTTGTAGTATGTTGTCTGTATGTGTATTTGGTTTTCGCTGGTGTGGTCAAAGACAAATTTCAACCATGGTTGACAATAAAGATGTATTGTATTGTATTGTATTGTAAAGCTTGTGGAAAAGCAGTAATACTTATTGGCAAATTTAGCAAATTGACACCTGCTTGTCTATTTAGTCAGCAGTTTGATTTGTAATAATTTGATTCTAAATATTATGAGAAACATACAGTTAACTGGAAAATGAGCAGAACACCATGCTGATTAAGCTTGTAACTCAGGATGAATGTTGAAAATTATCTTTAGGCTACCATTTGCCATATATTATTTATTGTTATGTTATCTCAAATAGATTTTTGACTGCTGTTGCTTATTTGCTAATCTCGACTAATTTTCTTTTAAGCATCAGTTAAAATACATTTTTATGTTGAAGGCCATAGGCCTCTCCGTTAGATAAGCCTGATGAGACCCAGGCTACGAAATTCAGCCAGGCTGTCCAGGTTTGATCATATCATCTCTTTTCTTCTAACCTGCCTGACAGCAGCTTTATTAAACGCACTGAGAAGTTGAACCTCACAGAGCTCACAGAAATAATCTCTCTCTTAAACAGAACTCAGTGAATGGTTTGGATGAGATATGGAGACAGAGGCAGATAATTAATTATTTAATACAAATTGACTGAGATAATTGACCGGGGGTCATGTCTATCTCAAACTTTGTCCATTTATCTGTGTTTAAATAGGGTTATTCTGACCTACAGTAGCCTATATATAGGCTTTGACCATTAGCTGAGGTCAGGGTGTACTATCTAAACACTGAAGGGATATTCCTTATAAGTTCATCTCAATTGACAGTACAAAAATAATTCTGTCCCTTGTTTTCTTAAAATAATAACAATAATAATAAATTAAAAAAGCAAAAATTGAGGTTACAGTGAGGCACTTACAAAGGAAATAAATGGGGCCAGTTTTTAGAGGATAGTAGAAATGTGAAGGATGTGAAGGATAGAGGATAGTAGAAATGTGAAGTGTATACATTTATAAAAGCACTTCAATTTGTCTGATAAAACGTACTCTAAAAACTGGCTTTAGTACTTGAGCTGTAAATGTGTTCCTGTCATTTTTATGGTCGTTTAAAGGTTTTAAGTGTTTTTAAAGTAATTTTTAGTAAGTAATTTTTAACTTAAATTTTACTTTAATTTTTATCTTACATTTTGTATTTGAAATTTGTTTTTACTTAAAAAAAAAAATCAGTTGTTTTTAATAGAATAAAACTGGCAGCTGTAGTTGCCAGAATAATTCTGTAAAAAAAGTCAAACTTGTAAACAATTTTACAGAACAACCTGTACATTTTACAGTTGAAAATAAATAAATCCAACAGCCCTTTTCAGGTTTTTACCATAGAATTTTTGGTCTTTTACTGTTAAAATTACAAGTCATTTTTACAGTGCACTAAAATCATGTTAACAAGCATAATGTTTATGTTTTGTGCCCACACTATAGAAATGGTGAGTATTTTAATATTTACAAACTGGCCCCGTTCACTTCCAATTTAAGTGACTTACGATAATCCAGATTTTTGCTATTTTTAAAGAAAAGGAGGGACAATCTGATTTTTATTTATTTTTTAAATTATTATTATTTTATTTATTTATGTATTTTTTGTGGTAAACAACAATACGCCTCAAGTGCTACTGCTTGAGCATAACTTGTACTCAACGGAATATTCGTTTACATGAGACTAGAGAAGAATGCTGTCAGTTATTTGTATTTGAAAATGTCAGCTCTTCTGTGATGCTCATGAGCTAGGTGTGTCAGGCGTGGGAGATATTGTTCCAGGAAGCACCAGAGATTCTAAGTGAGCCATAAATAATCTGTTCTGTTAAAACAACTCAGTTTGAATCTCTGCTGCTTCCTGTACATTTGAGATGAGAAATATCTCCCACGCTCTCCATCTCCTCACAGGAAGTTCATGGAGCTGCTGAAGAGGATGCAGGGAAACTACCATCTCCTATATCATGTTCATTAGATGACGTAAACATAATACACAGTGGGACTTATTAAAAATAACAATGTGCTTCTGTGCGTGTACATAAACACACACACAATCCAACCATCACAAAGACTATAACAAAACCTTCAAAATAAAAAATTCAGAACCTCTGACCACTTGCATCTCTCATAGGACAAGTCTGACTCACTTCGTTTCTGTCTCTGGAATCTCTAAATCCCATCCAAAAAATCCAGCATCACACTCTGTACCCATGCCATTGGAAATAATTATAACAGTACGTTATGACATGTAAGAGTACGATGATTTAAACACAACATACACCATGTTATATCCACTTCAATTTTAAAGGATTATATTTCCTGTAGTTATAAAGATCTCATATCGCAACATTGTTTAAGATCTGCACAGTACCCTACAACAACTTTATGAGTTACATTTACGTCGTGTTTCCTTTTCAAGTGTTTACTTTTTAGTAATTTTGTTATGTGTTTTCATCATTTTTATTACTTTTTTTTATATTACTTTTTAGGTGTATGTTTATATCGGTTTTAATTTTTATTGATTTCCAGGGCAGTCATTTTGTGCTTCATCCTAAACTTATTTCAGTTAGTTGCCAAGACAACGTTTCTTATGTTGTTTTTAAAAATGTTAAAGTTTTCCTATTTAATTAAAAAATATATTTTATTCTAAGCGTTTTTAGTGGTTACAGTTTTAGATACAACATATTATAAGGGTTTTTATAAGGCATTATGCATGCATTATAATTAAGAATATCCTTATAATTCATTATAAATATACAGACGTCATGGTGTTACCAGATATTTTCATTAAAAAAATAGTGACAAAAACAGAAAAAAAGAAAGATGGGAGAAAGTTGAAGACCCAGAATCAGTCTGAATGCAGTGATATATAAGCCTCCAGCAGACTGTTTGGAGATGCTTAACAGCTCTATTCATCAGGGCTTCACAGAACTTGCTCATCCCAACCTTTGCCAACCTGATATGCCAGCCACAGAGTGTGCCTGTTTCTAAACACCCATCACATGATGCATTGTTGTCCAACCACAGCTTGCTTAACAACAATGATGCTGAGCAAACCCAGCTGAGTGTTTGCAAATCATTTAGTAACACGTTGTGCATTCAAGGAAAAAACTTCAGAATCTGAATCACAAGCTGTGATTTGGCTTTTAGCTTGCAAACAATGAATTCAACTTTCAGGGTATAGTGAATGTAATATAAATCAGCCCTAACAGAATATTTAAAACGCTCTCAAAAAACTAATACGCATCCACATGATCAAGTAAACAAGTCTATAACAAGACTGCTGGTGAGATGGAGAGACTGGGAATGCAATCTTAACATGACACAAGCCAGATTCAAACCTGCATTCCTATGAGCACATGCACTACCCACTATGCCACGACTCTGACAAAATTTTGATGCACATGGCATGTGTAGGAAATGTCATATAAACTAGCCCAAGTCTTTGAAGGCTCCAATCTTTAGTAAAGTTCGCAGTCATTCGTCTCTTCAATGATCAAAGCTCCCTCACTATTGATGTGTGAATGCACCGGTTCATGAAGCGTGTAAAGCTGTATCTGTTTACAGCTCGAGCCGAGTCCTTCCCAGCTGAGGCTGGCTCTCGCTCTTGGCCTGTGCCTTTGAAAGATGAAGCCTGCCAAGATGCTTTAACGAACCGTAACGCGATTATGTAATCCACTGTCAGTGAGGAGCACTAGAACGATCTCCCATTTGTCTGGTGACCCTATGCGCTCTGCATGCTCAAGGAAACAAGGCTCCGAGGTAACTGTCCTAAAACATGTCCTATTAAGGACCAGAACACGTTACTGGAACAGCAGATTTTGATTGTCCTGGAACAACAGTCCTTTCAGCACCATTAACTACCGCTAAAATACACTGTCAAAAATGTGCAAAACCTGTACTTTCAGCTCATCACTGGGACAGTAACCTAAAAAATAAATATGCACCCAGTAATAGGTGCATACTGGTAGCTTGGAATAGTATGATGCGCCCTTAAAGTAATACCATGAACCCAAATAATGTACAAAATTACCCTTTTAAGGCTACTTCCCAAATGACAAGCTGCTGGGCTTTCTTTTTTTTTTTCTCCAGTGCAAAAAGTAAATGATAAGTTGATAATGTACAAGCCCTTTACATCCCTGAAATCTGATTGGTTGATGGGGAAACTGCTCCAGAAGAAACAAGGATGCTGATTCAGGTACATGTGACCCAGAATGAAATCACTAATGGACTGCAAAATCTCATAACTTAAGGGTGAAGGATTTTATGTTACCATGATGTTAACAAACCAGTTGGATACATTTAGTCGAGTCATGTATAATAATAATAAAATCATACATCAAGCTCTGCACGCCAAACCGCTGTTGTGATTAACCTCATTAATTGCACTCAAGGAAAACACACATACACAAACACAAGTTGGCTTATTTCTAAAGGGAAGGACGACAAACATCACACACTTAGTGGGGCGTCATGTGAAACTAACTTACCGAATTTCCTGTCCGCGAATGCAGCGGCGAGCGCGTGGACAGACAGCAAGGCGAGGAGCAGCGCGCGCAGAGAAGCCATCCTGCCCATCAAGCCCAAACAGCTCTCGTTAATTCGGCATAGCGGCTCTCACGGTTCAGGAGTGGTGATTAGAGCGGAAGTAGGTCAGAGGCGAATGAGATGGAGGATAGTGAGATGAGTGATGCTCTGCTAGCCCGGGTCCTGTACTCAACTGTAAGAGGCGCGAGGCGCGTTCAGCACCACGGCCAGCGCCCCGCCTCAGCTACTGACGTCACTAGCTACAGGTTTCCAAGACTTCCGCAGTCAGTTGCATTTAGTTTGAAGCGATGGACCGCACTTCTCTTATCAGACAGAAGCGGTTGAGGAAGGGTAGGGTTATCTCCGTTGCTCTCGAGCAGTTATTTTGCTCAAAGATTGTGCCCCCTACCGAAACGCTGGTGTGATGTACTTGACAAACAACGCACGACAATAAATCACATGCCACATGTGTGGTGAATAAACAAGCCAAAGGTATGCTATAATCTAGCATGTCAAACAATATCCATTCATACCCTCGAAATCAGAGACATTGAAGATTACACCATGGACTTTTTTTTTGTTGATTAATTAAAAGATGGGACAGAGTTTTAATTGGGCATTAATGGGAATGTATTACTAGGGTTATGTGAAGAAAAGCAGACATCAAAAAAGAGAAAAAGAGTATAATAGTGTATCAGTAGAAGTCACAATCCACCCAAACATTTAGTTTCAAGTTCAATCAAGCTCAGGTTTAAGCAACAGTTTCTTCAAAATCAGATTTAATCTCATGTGCTTTTTCTTTATTTCACACCATGATTATAGACTGTGACACTGTAAAGACCTCAGATTAGAAAAAAAATCAATCACATATACATATCTCAGAGTTTACATTTAGCAATTACTTGTCTGTACACTTCTATGGTTTAATAGGGAAAGTAGAAGTGTAACAACACATCTCAGACCAGTATTTGGAATGGATCTGAGGATAAAGCAGAAAAGGTCAATAGAAGGGACATATTTCATCAAAGACACCTTAAACCTTAAAAGTATCATCTTAAGATATACCAGATTCACTGAAATGTCTTCAAAATAGAAGATTTTTCGTAGATTGATAAGATTATAAACTACAGTTATATGCAATGGAAACACTGCTGCATTTGAAAGTGTACAAAAGAAAATTAATAGTGATCCTAGTGAACCAAGATGACGTTTTATGGAAGTTTTGTTTATATAGTGAATGTTCTTGTATACAGAGAGTGGAAAACAAAAACATGCAAGACAGTATACAGCTGAGAGAACAAAATAAGGAATAAAGAATTTTGTGGGAATATGCATCAGCTCTAAATTATTAGCTTGCCAATTTAACTGTTTGGTTGTTGGCATGGATTTAGGATGTCATTCAGCATCCTGACAGTGGATTCATAGATGGACCTAAGATTGAGAGAGAGACCAAAACAACATTAACAGTTGTACAGCTATCATTGTAAATAGGACTCTGAGAGAATGCTTTCACAATATGACATCTAAATCTTTTACCTCTGTATATTGGCAGAATTTTCTGCAGTGATGTTGTAATGTCTCTGTATTTGTCTGCGTACAGACAAAGCAATTTCCTTCAACTCCACAATAAATGCATCAGCTGTAAGGAACAGAACAGAAAGGTAAAAACAATCATGTACTCGTAGGATTTTATCAAAGAAACAAATGAAACTCAGTCTCATTTTATACTTTATATCACTCAAGTTTCTTCACCAAGTCCAACACCACTGGACTAGTTATATGCTTTAGGCTGTGTGAAATTAACTGGGATTGCAAATCTTTGAGAATGTGTTCAAAAGAATATTGTATAAAGTTCTCAAATTTTTACTATCAAGCATCCAGGTGTTGGAACCAAGTAAAGGCCTGTTCACACAAAGGATGATAACTATGAAATTTTAAGAATTGTTAACATTTTGTGAGAATAGGTAAGGCCACACCACAACTACAATGATAACAACACAGAGGAACAAATCATTAGAATCACTTTCAGATAAATTTTTTTTCCAGCTGATGAATGATAATCAGAATCCTTTAAAGAGCTTGAGCATTTAAAGTGGCAGATGACATCCATTGGTGCAGATGCTAATATAGTTCTAGTCATCTTTACATAGTGCTGGGCGGTATGACCAAAAATTGATATCATGGTATTTTTCAAAATTATACATGGTTTCACTGTACATGAAGGTTTTTTTTTTTTCCATGCATGACCGGGTGTTAACCATATTTTCTACTGATTGAGAGAGGAAATACTGCAGATGGCAGGGGGCGGTGGATATTTGTGGCATTCATTGTGGATGAGTTCTTCCGTGTCATCACGTTCGATTAGTTCTACAGCTTCAGTTTCGGAACTTTCACGCTTAGTAACACGTACAGCTGTCTGC